CGCAACGGCAGCACAGAAGACTGGGGGCTGGGCAGAGGCGTCCGTCTCGTCATTGTTCGCTATGCAATGGCAGGAGGGTGCAATGAGTGTGGTGGGAGTCGGGACGGCAGAGTCTGGTTAGCGGCGAGTGATGCGAAAGGATAAGGGGAAGGGAGTTGGGGGAGGGGAGGATAGTCCAGGACAGCGGTGACGACAATGGACGGCGATATGACGAAGTGGGTCCGAGAGCGATGTCTCCTGGCGTTGCCGGGCGCCGTCGTCCCGAGTCCAGGTGCCTGGGCGGTTCACTGTTGGCGCCCGGACTCTGGTCAACTAGACGTCAACTGGTCAAGTTTGAAGTCCAGGCTCCATACGCGCGCAGCATTGAACCAATCCGGCATCAATCTGCTCTTTGCCTACCAAGCCCAAGGGTCCTCCTTGATGGCGTCGGGCGGCCGTCGCCGTCGCTACCCTCACCCACACCCTCAAGCGCTCTCTGTTGATCCACCTGCCTCTTGTGTCTGGTGCATGAACGTGAACGCGGGGACGATCAATAGATTGATCCCTGCACGAGAGCCCCGCGCGAAGCAACCACCAGACATCAATCGATGTTTCGAATTCCACCCTACGAACAGAACGCAACAGCATCATTTGTTTGGAACGCACTGTTTGTGAGCAACGTGCACAAATCAGCGGGCTCTGCAGCCCTGTAAAGCATTTTCATCAAACTAGGCCATTATATACACAACACTGTCCCGTGGCAGAAGCTGTCCATCTGCCGCGTGCGCCTTCGCTCCCTCTCACCAGACGGCACAACATTGCCCATTCGACAAAGCAGATACGTACGTGCAATTCGTTCAGTAGCGCTAGGCTCAGTGCTTGCCCAGCGTCTTGATGTCTTTCAGGATATTGGCATCGTTCTTGCCCGCAATCGCCAGCACCTCGATCAGCCCTATCAGCAACGGCTCGAGCGCCACGCCCAGGGCAATGGGGTTCAGGGTGCTGCTGAGCTCCGTATTCCGCGAGCAGCCGCCGGGGACCGTGCCGGCAAAGGCGTCCTTGACAAACTGCAGGGCGTCGAGGATGGCGACAACCTCGGTGGTGACGTGCCCGCCGTTGGCAAACGTGGTGAATTTGACGCTGGCGCCGTAGCCGCACCACGCGTCAACCAGGGTAGAAGCGTTTGCGTACGGGACAACCTCGTCGTTGCTGGCGTGGTAGACGAACACGGGCGCCGTGGGCGTCTCGTTTTTGTAGACGCCCATGGTGTTTTGCTGCAGGACCGCCACGACGTCCGGGTGGTACAGGAGGCCGGGGCCGAGGCTCTGGATGCTGGTGGACAGCACCGACTGCTCCGGGAAGGCGATGAGGTTGGCGACGGCGCAGTTGGCGTTGGCGAAGTTGAGGATGTCCCGGCCGCGCGGCGTGACGATGCTCTCGACGAGGGGGCCCAGCTGCGCGCCGTACGCGCTTGGCTTCGTCAGGCCGTCGATGGCGGCGGGCAGGAAGCCGCTGAACAGGGTGTTGTCGATGAATGTCAGGATGCCCGTGAGGTTGGCCGGAGTGCCGCCTTGCACCCAGCCCTTCATGGCCAGCTCCGGGGCATACGTTGGCTGGAGGGAGGCCGCCCAGCCGGTTGCGATGGCGCCGCCAGAGTACCCGACGCCGACAATCATGGGGGTGGACGTGGAGAAGCGCAGCGTGTTTTTGAAATTCACCACGGCTCGCATGCCGTCTAGGACACCCATCCCCTCGAGTCGGCCGGGGCTAAAGGCCGCATCGGGCCCTTCATAGTCTGGTGACGCCACGATGTAGCCGGAGAGCAGATAGGTCTGTAATAGGAGAAACTCGGCTGATGAAATCAGGTCAACCTGCAGGGCACCTAGTTGGTAGTTGTAGCTGGGGTTGCAAATGGAGGCCGAGCTGTCGTATGCCGTGTGGAACGAGACGAAGCGGTCCTTCTTGGGGAAGAGAGGCTTAAAGATTGTCGTCACTGTGGCAATGGGCGAGCCGTCAATGGCTGTTGTGCGATAGAGGAGTTGCCATGTTTCAACTGGGTCTGGGATAAGTCCGAAAAAGGACGATATAACAAGGCGTTGACGTAGAATAGTGCCGGGCGCTTTGGATTCAAAGCCCGCAGGCGGCTTATAGAAGGGATCTATGCTTGGAGGAAGAGCTCGTGGCTGGTTCAACGCCCGACTTGAGACGAGAGGAAGGCTGACGGAGACTAAGCCCAGGAAGCGCAACAGCGAAATCAGGAGGATGCGGAACATGGTGACGGCGGCTGCTGTGAGAGATGATCAGAACCCCAATAAAGGTTCGTTTGAGATACAAGGTTTGTTGAATGGGCTTGGCTAAAAGAGCAAGACGTTATTTGGGGTCCACGGGGGCAGACCATGAAACAAGACATTCCAAAGAGGACACAAGATTAATATATCTATACTACATGTGTAGATGATTCCCCGCTCTCTGTATGAAGCGTTACTTGCCTGGGTGTCGTCGACTATGGCCTCGGCTCCTCGCCGCTCAGAAACTTGCGAAGCTCTGCTCTGTCGCGTCTGAAATGCCATTGCGATTCTCGTGCCTAGACACCGCGGTTACATCTTGAGTCAAGGCAAGGGATGGTGCCAGCCTAGGGTCTTGAACAGTACAACCCTGTGTGGCCAGTTGTCTTGGAAAGGCAGGCGATGGTCGACGTCGACCAAGGCCGGCGCTGGAACATGACTGTGTAGCTGAGAATACATTGTCGTCCCCGTGATGCGCTACTGCAGCTTTGGTGTGCTTCTATCCCGTTTTGCAACCCACTAGTCGACTAGTTTGGGGAGAGCGTAGAGTGTGTCCGAGCGACTGGTGGAACCAGGAACGGCTGGGGAAGAAGAACTTGGAGAAGCAAATCCGGGGACGAAATCCGGGGACGAAATCCTGGGGAAGAAATCCTGGGGAATATCGGCAACCGAGGCTGGGGAATGGTGATGCATATGATTGTCTGCCTGTCAAGTGGTTAGACAGACCAATATAGTCATTTCATCGTATGCTCACCAAGCTAGCAGGGACAGGGGCCATGATGAACGTCTAATCCCATCACAATCTCCCCTTTCCCATCCCGAAGCCTCTAGTCCCCTGCAGGCTAACATTTAATAACGTTGAAAACTCGTCGGAGAAGTCAGCTCCCCAACGCCCGAGTCTCCCCAGCTTCGCCTGTGGGCGATTCGTCTTCACATGCTCGATGGCCAGTTGCGTCGCCCGTGACCCAAACCCCATTCCTAGATAGCGACGAGAAATCATAAAGCCCCATGTAGAGTGCAGTGCCATTCTTCCGGGCCCAGATGGACATGATGAGAAACCCGACGTATGTGTCTTGGGCGTCGATGCCCCGCACCCATGCGTCCTCAGAGTCGTGTGCTTTGCAGAGGGACTTGAGCTTGTTTGTAACGTTCGCTTGTAGGGACGGCAGGGTCTTGCGGCCTGTCTTTTATTAGCCGAGGGCCATGACTGCGGATTTGGGTATGGGTAGAGGCGGCCGTTTGGTGAGCATCCTGTGCCGCCTGTTGTTGGAGGATACGGACAGTCATCTTCGTTCGGGGAGAAAGAGACGGCGTAGGGAGATGCTAGAGCATGGTTTTATATTGAAGTCGTTCATTTCCAAGGCTGAATTTGAGAGCGCGCCGAATGTTGAAAGCCAACAGCCCATTTTTTGGTTGTCATCGAATATCGCAACTCATTGCAAGGGAAGTCAGTGGCGAGAAAAGATGAACAAGTATGGTCAATTCCCTCCACCATCACTCACAGTCGAGCCATTTGGACCGAGAAGTGATATACACAACCGAGAGCCAGCAAGATCACGTTGTGTAATTTATTGACACATCTTGGGCGGCATTGGGGGCTTCCCGTGCGCCACTGGCGGCTGGGGCTGCGGTGCTTTTGTATCGACCGGACGGAACACAGACGACGTCGTCTTCAACCTGCGAAACTCGCCATTACTGCCATTAAGCTTTTCGCGGCCCGAGCATCAAATTGAATTAAATTAAGGTTGACTGCCGCCGTAACAAACAACGGCCTTGCCTTGCCATTCCATTCCATTTCCATGCCAGCGGACCTGCAGCTGGAGCTTTACGCAGCAACTCAGCTCAACTCTGGGTTGTAACCTGGGATTCTCGAACGCACAATCGTCGTGAACCCCGACGTAACGCCGGGTAGATTGCCCAATCTGCCCAATCTGCCCACTCAGCCGCTCTGTCCCGAACATACCATGCTGCAGCTGCAACTTGATCCAAATAGCCTGTTCCGAACAGTGTGATGCTGCACGATACCGTCTCGGAAACTTCCCGAGAGTTTTTTTTTCTCGTCGGAGCGAAATGCACCACACACATGAGAGAAACTCCATTAGCCAAAGAGAGCCCGCACAAAAAGTCCCTGCTGGTCTAGATGGTAGAGGACGGTTGTGTCTTTTGGTCGTGATGCTTGCAGGTCCGTAGACTTCTACACCAAGATTCAGGACACACGGTGTACAACAGCATTTGCAACGGAGAAAACCAGCTCCATTCGCTCCTCATAAGCTTGGAATCATCCGATAAGATTTGGTCATGGTGTTATTTCCAACCTGTTCCCGTACTATTAGCCACTTTGGGTATCCCCCGAGAGATATCCAGCATCCAGATCAAGGCTATCATCTCTTGGCGTTTTCGGGTTTTGTGACGATCGTCTCCAGCACCAATTACAGTTGCATTCTGCGTCTTTTGCCTTGCCGGTTATGTAAAATTTCTCCACCGTTCACGGCTAATCGGCAGCAGAAAGAATGCAACACCATGCTGCAATTTCGTTCCCAACCGTGGCTATGCTTTACGGTCCACTTGCAGTGTCCACCCTGCCAGCCGGAGTGGAACGAGCCATATGCTTACTTTGCAGCTGTTTCTTCTGCAATAAAAGATGGAAAATCTCATCTTATCTGATCATCAGATTGCCTTCTTGGGCATGTCGAAAGACCAAGATTCTTGTACGGCATCGCCATACCAGACCTCAATATGAATCCCAAAGCCATCGATACTTTGACTGTCGATGCATCACAAGATAACCAAGATACCGAGAAAAACTCGAAGCAACTCGACGGCAAGTGGGGCAGCTGTTCTTGTTCCTCTGACGGAAGAGTACTGACTTGTTTCAAAGACCATGCTTCGGATAGCGATGTTCTCTCGGCCGCCGGTGTCGACATGAGCGGTGATGACCCGAATCTACCTTGTCTCACGTTGAGGATGTGGTTTATCGGTATTGGCTTTTGCATCATCGGTAGTGGCGTAAATACCCTCTACACTTTCCGGTTCCCATCCGTCTCCTTGTCTCAATCGGCGATCCAGTTCTTGGCCTATCCCGTAGGCAAAGCCTGGGAGCTCGTGGTGCCAGACTGGGGTGTCACAGTATTTGGCACACGTCACAGTTTGAACCCGTGTCGGTTTAATCACAAGGTAAGCGTCCGACAGTATATACCGCACGATAGATATTACAAGACCCGCTGAGCAAGTATTCCAGGAGAATATCTTGATCTATATTCTTGCCAACTTGAGCTATATGACGCGTCTTAGTGCCGATGTTTTGACTGAACAACGAGTATTTTACGGACTCGAGGCTGGTTGGGGCTTTGAGTTGATGATCACACTGGCCACCATTCTGTTTGGCTTTGGCTTTGCTGGTCTCGCCCGTTCCCTCGTCGTAGAGCCGCGTGAGTTGGTCTGGCCTGGGGTTTTAGGCAATACTGCTCTCAACTCCGCCCTTCATGGAGGGAATAGCAAACCAAACGTTTCGAGGTAAGTCGGCTAAAGTGACACAAGTGAATACCAGGAAATCCCCGGCTGACAGTCCGTGTCGTCTAGTCACGCCCATACTTGGAGGTCGACGCGTTACAAATTCTTTCTCTGGACGTTTGCTGCTGGGTTTATTTGGTATTGGTTTCCCGACCTGATCTTTCCTGCTCTTGGCTATTTCACTTGGATCTGCTGGATTGCGCCAAAGAACGCAGTTGTCAACCAAGTTTTTGGTATGAAGAGTGGAATGGGGCTGCTCCCTTTTACCTTTGACTGTAAGCACTGGCATTCGGACCCTTGTTCGGTAGCAGAGCTCTATCAAGGGCACTAACATGCCAGAATAGGGAGCCAAATCTCGTATATCGGCTCGCCTCTCATTGTCCCAACCTGGGTGATCTTCAATATCCTTGCTGCTGTCGTTTTCTGGATATGGATCATAACCCCCGCCTTATATTACTCCAACACGTGGCTATCAGCTTACCTCCCTTTGCAAAGCAATTCAATATTCGACAACACCGCCAAGGTGTACAATGTATCAAGGGTGATAAATGCGAAGAATGGCTTCACCTTTGATGAGGCCAAGTTTGCTGCCTACTCAGACGTACGTGCTGCCTTCAATTATAGCAAAACTGAACTGACTTACACCACATGTAGATCCGATTGCCCGTAACATATGCGCTGAACAAGTTTGGTCTTGCTTTTGCAACATTTGCGTCTCTTTTCACATGGCTATTTCTTGAAAAGCGACGTGAACTTGGCAGCCTTGTGCGGCAAGTCCGAGAAGCAAAATTATGGCCGAAGCGAGACTCTGATACACATGAAAACACTGCGGAGCAAGACTGGTCTTCACATTATTCACAAGCACCTTTGTGGTGGTACGGCGCTGCCACTCTTCTCGGATTATTTTTTGCCATGTTTTCTTGTGAATACTACGCCGTACAACTCCGTTGGTACGGCGCGATTCTAGCTTTTGTAATATCCGGTGTTTTTTTCATCCCGGTGCGTGATTTGATTGCATTGAAATGCATTTCTGGGACCCAAGGCTGACCAAAAAAAATATCAGATTGCTTGGGTATTCGCAACCACAAACACAAAAATTAGCATTGAGCTCTTCTGCCGCCTGGTTGCTGGATATGTTTGGGAAGGGAAAGTCCTTGCTAACATCTGGTTTTTTTCCCTTGGGTCCATATCCACCACCAAAGGTCTTGCCTTTGCGCAGGATCTTAAGCTCGGGATTTACTGCAATGCAAGTATCGCTATACCTCGTTCGATTCTTGATCAAAGCAGCTGACAAAAAGAGCAGATTCCCCCGCGTCACCTGTTCCTCGTGCAGGCGGTGGGCTTGGTTGTTGGTACTGTTTCCCAAGTCGCGGTGCTGAACTGGGCTCTCAACCATATACCAAATATTTGCACCTCCAAAGCGGCTAATGGATTCACTTGTCCATTCTCTCGCACTCATTTCAATACCAGTATGGTATGGGGGGCCGTTGGGCCTCGCAAGTTTTTTGCCCCTGGAGCGTCGTATCGGCCACTTCTTTGGTTCTTCCTGCTTGGATTTCTTCTACCAATTGCTGTATACGGCCTGCGACGTGTGTTTCCCAACGCAAAATGGTTGCGTCGCGTACATGTGCCATTATTTCTCGGCGGGATGGGATACATTCCGCCAGCCTCAGGCACGAACTATGGTGCTTGGGTTGTAGTAGGACTCCTTTTTGGCCTCTTGGTAAAAAAGAATTACAAGACCTGGTGGAATAAGTATAACTTTGTGCTTAGTGCATCGCTGGACTGCTCGACGGCCATCGCAGGCATCTTGATCTTCTTTGCCGTGATATATACGGGGGCATCAAAAGACTTCTCATGGTGGGGTACGACGGTGCATACGGTAAGGCGATCCCTGGAATTGAGACTCGAAGCTTTGGTGCTGACCAAAGGCAAGAACACGTGTGACTGGAAGTCATGTCGATACTTGACGCTTGCGAAGGGGGCCAAAATGCCGTGAGATCGGTGACAGGTAGCTTCACCAGGAAAGTAAAGCAGTGTTGAGACAAGTGCTACGGTATTTGAGACTTTGGAGTATAAGTGCTGGGATTCGCCAGAGCTAGGGGTGATATTAGTATCAGGACTGTAATACGTAATAAAACACTGCCAGCTGACCTTGCTTGCTTGCTCAGCCGCTCCTCGAGCTGAAGGGGCAAGATGCCATGCCTCGCGTGGACCGTGTGATGTTTCGTTGAGGCAACTGCCGATCGAGACTGCTCCGCATAGACAGTGAGACACTATCACCCGGGCTTAAGCGGCGTGTTACAGCCGAATCGCCAAGAGCCACTCGGTACAGCCTGGCAACTCGAAGCGAGTCTGTTCACGCCCACTTTAGAGATTAAGTGGTGCATTCTGGTCTGTGTGGACGGGACAGGGGAAAGCGACCCGGCACGGCCCGGTCAATGCTGACCTTGTACGTACTTTGTCGCACGAAGTCAGGGTGTGTTTCGTAGATTGTACGGAATACGGAGTAGAGAATTGATGATGGAGGAGCTGCCCGGTGCGGAGGAACAGAGAACTGCCAGGTGAACGAGCCCCAGACTGACGGCAGGTTGAAGACATGACCAAGTAATACGGGTACATACATGTAGCTACCGAGGTACTTTTACGCATCAATTGGTTGTCTGAGACCATTGTCATGCCTATTGTCATGCCTACAATAGGAAAGAACTGACCCGGAGCCCTTGCCACGAGACCCGCACAGGCAGCAAATTGTGCTGTGTAACCTTGATGGTCAGTGCTTTTTTTTGTGATTTGCCATCAATTGATCGAGATGTCCGATTTCACGCAGTAGCACCATTGCACGGACCAAGAAAGCCATTGACAGCATTGATGCGAAATTCTTGCTATAGTCCCAGACTCCCAGGCCTGTGGTCATCAGTTCACCATCCCGTCCAATAGTCCCAGCGCTATGTTTGTGTCTCACCACACTTTGAGATCTAGTGCGACCAGACTGTATGTACTGTATAGTCCCAGCAACAGCGCGACTGCCATTATTCAGACTGCCTCAGGCCAGCTGGCATCCTATCTCAACAACTTCATCCGTCCAATTCTACATCCATCTCCAGGTCACCGTCTTGCATTGTGGACAAAGCAAATCTTTCTCAACGACCGTATCAAGTCCTCATCATCCCGGACCACTCGCGCACAGCCATGGCCCAACTATTCTGGGGTGCCTTTGCCCAGTCGTTCTTCATCCCAAAGCCAGTTCTTACAGAAGATAATCTGTCTGATCAAAGTGGCAAAGTACATATAGTAACGGGAGGGTATGCTGGCATTGGGAAGGAGCTGAGCACTATTCTCTATCAGCATAATGCCGTCATTTATATTGCTGGAAGAAATGAGGAAAAGGCAACGACTGCCATGGAAGAAATCAAGGCGCAAAACCCAGACTCCAGGGGCAGACTTGAATTCTTATCACTAGATCTCTCTGACTTGACCACTATCAAGCCAGCCTTGGAGGAATTCTCTGCACGAGAGAAGCGACTCGACGTACTGGTCAACAACGCTGGAGTCATGATGTGCTCCAAGGATGCCAAGGGGAAGCAAGGCCATGAGCTTCAACTGGCTACCAACTGCTTAGGGCCATTTCTCTTCACCAAGGGTCTCGTTCCCATCTTGAAAGAGACGGCTCTCGCCAGCCCACCAGGCTCAGTGCGCGTCATCTGGGCCAGCTCCATCACTGCCAATCTGCTGTCACCGGCCGGCGGCGTCAAGCTTGGTGAGGACGATGCACCACAGGCTTCTTCATCGCAGTCCACGAATTATGGCCAATCCAAAGCCGCTAATAACTTCTACGCCGCCGAGTTTAGTAGACGACATGAAGCGGATGGTATTTTGAGCCTCGCCTTCAACCCAGGGAACCTCGCGACCGAGCTGTGCCGCCATCTTGGGCCTGTTGAATTATTGACTGCCAAGATAGTTAGCTACCCATCTCGGCTCGGTGCGTACACAGAACTATATGCCGGTTGGAGCCCCGATATCAAGATGGAGGATGGTGGTATGTTTGTGATTCCGTGGGGCAGACGGGGCAACGACATTCTACGAAACGATCTGCGAGAGGCAATTGAGGAGTCTGAAACCAATAAGAAGTCTATACCTAGACGACTTTGGGAATGGAGTGACAGGGAAACTGCGCAGTACGCGTAGGTGCGACTATTTCGTTGGAGGAATACAACCAGTATGTCGGCGACAACTGGTTGCCAGCACCTTATTTGCAAACAGGCCTGACCAGATTTGTAATGTTCAAATCCAATCATTGATAACTAATACCCTCATGCCACCAACCACGCCTAATATTTTGACTTTGGTTTAAACGAATCCAATCAACTCAACACTCAGCTGAATGTGCGTCATCGCAATGGATTTCAAGCCATCACGTACAGTTTTTCAGACTGTTGTGCACACGCCGAGTCCTACCAGCCTGTGGAGTACTATATCCGTAAACCCCGAGAAACCCAACATTCGCACCGGGCAGGGACACCAAACTGCTTCGATGTGCCCAGATCTGCACATGGCGCGCACTGAGCCCAGTCACATGTCACCAAATATAGGCTCAGTTTCATACCTACATTTAAATACCAGCCATGCCTGGCCACGAGGGTTTCAGTCAACCGATTTCACAAACACAATTATCTTACTGCCCTCGGTCAAAATTGCCATGTCAAAAGGCATACTCACCCACGCACTCGGCGGTAGGGCCTCCAAGCTCCAAGCCAGTACGACACCATGTCCCATACGGATTTACAGCCCGGTTTCGCTCCCGTCGCCGCATCGACCCATTGATTTAAAGCTCCGGGTAACAAGTCCCGCCACGGGGCTCAATCTCCCAATCATCCTGCTTTCTCATGGACACGGCCCCAGCAACTGGCTTTCGTCGCTACACGGGTACGGCCCTCTGGCCGAATACTACGCTGCCGATGGGTTCGTGGTCTTCCAGCCCACGCACCTCAGTTCCCGATCGCTGAGCTTGGAAAAACCTCCCCAGGGGGATGAATTGTACTGGACCTCCCGCACCGAAGACATGTCGCAGATCCTCAACCAGCTCGACATGATAGAAGCCACGGTCCCGGAATTAAAAGGCCGTCTGGACAGGGATAAGGTCGCCGTGGTTGGCCACTCGTTCGGGGGCATGACGGCGTCGATGCTCCTCGGCGCGACCAACACCGACCCACGAACTGCCTCCAAGATCGACGCCTTTGACGCCCGTATCAAAGCGGGCGTCGTCATTGGCGGGCCTGGAAACGGCGGAGGTGACTTGTCAGAGGGGGCAAAGGCGCGTCTGCCCTTTTACGGGCCGGATTTCAGCACCATGCGCACAAGGGCATTGGTGGTGGCGGGAGATGGAGATTTGAGTCCTCACTTTACCGTGCGCGATGAGACGTGGCACATGGACCCGTATGTTTTCAGCCCCGGGCCAAAGGACGTGTTCATCATGACGGGGGTCAAGCACACCTTTGGTGGTATCAGTGGGTGGGATGTAGCTGAGACGCAGGAGGGTGCGGCAAGGAGCCCCGAGATATTGGGGGTTGTGCAGAAGGTGACGTCGGCGTGGCTCCGGGGCGCCCTCTACGGGGATAAATCCTGGGACGCTGTTCGGGAGACTGTACAAGACTTGGGGTTGGGGACCGTACAGTCAAAGGGTTAGGGTTATAACATGTGTACATGATGTAGTGGCTTTGAGTGTAGGCACATATGGATTCTGAAGTCAAGGCTTCACGGCAATTTCAAGAAGAGCAGATGCAGGTTCAAGCGAAACTACTTTAAAAGACTTTTACCAAGATTAATTTGCGTAAATACGTGTGATGAGCATGCGCAATAGTTGGATAATTTATGAGAGACCCGCCACGTCGGTTTACCCGTTTCACTATGTCGACTTCAATGTTGGACTAAATCAGGCGTGAGCCCGCCGAGCAGTTTACAATCCGACACCGAGACCCGCTTGTGATTGATGATAATCGGCCCATAGGATTGTGCATAGATCTTATAAATTGCTTTGACTAGAGCACGTTTATCATGTAGCCAGTCTCCCTGGTGAAGTTCAATAACGAACGCAGACGTCTACGCGTGCTCACAGGATCCGGTCAACCTGTCAGGGTCTCATGATTCATCACAGACAAATCATGACAACAAAAGACCGCAGGTAATACCACCTTCCATCACAAGAGTGCTAGATCACTTCAATAAGCAGAATGGCATGTCGGCATAATCACATGGTATACCGAAACACGGCTACACTTAAGCGCTGATGGCGACGGCCGCAGACGACAACGGCAGCGCGTCCTGCTTGGTCTTTATACCGGAAGAAGCCGACCGGATCGACGGCTCCAGAGGAAACACTTGAGTCTCAGCAGTCACATTGCCATACACCCTGTCCCACCTGCTCTGCAGTGCAGCAGGCGTGTCCCAATGCAGTTCCTCGTCTCTCAACCAGAGGCGGATAAGGTGGCGCCTGCATACTAGAGTCAGGACGAGTCCAAGTTTTTTTTTTTTTTTCAGTGAGAATGGCACGCCTACTGTTTTTCCAGAGAGTCGCGGAAGCCTCCCCTGGCATGGAAAATACTCAAATTATTGACGAATTGAATGTCGCCGGGGCGAAACTCGAGAGCCAGCGCGTGCTTCTCGGCCGTAAAGTGCACCGCATCAAGGGCCTCGGCCTGCGCCTCCGTGATGGCCGGGATGTCCGCACTGCGCGGCAGCCCCCAGTAGCCCGTGAACGACCGCCGGGCATACTGGATAATGACGCGCTCGGGGCCCTTCTCCCCGGCGGGCTGGTGGTACAGGAGCGGCCGGGGCGTATATCCCGGGGGGCCCGTCTTGCCGAATCTGCAGCTTGTGAGAAACTCTGAGGATTCATCTGCCCTGACATGTCCGTAGTAGAAGGGGCAAAGGGGGGGACAACATTGAACGTACTCATCGACATCCCAGGGCTCGGCCAGCGTCCGGATCAGATCGGGCCTCGTGGCAGCCAGCTCGTTGTACACGGTCCAGCTGCTGGACAGAAAGCTCTCGCCGCCCTCGTCCGCGGCGGCCAGGGCAAACAGGGCAATCACATCGCCTGCGTCGGTGTGGAAGACCTGCTTCTCGGTCGTGTACGCGGGCGACCCGATGTTCTTTGCGTCTGCGTGGGTAGACAGGTCCTTGACGTGCGCGAGGACGACGTCGGCCGGGCGGCCGTTGTGCTCGTGGTCCTGCCGCCCGCGGATGTTGGCCACGTGGGAGGCGATGCCTGCGTAGATGATGACGTTTTCTTCCCTGGTGTACTTGTCGATGGGAATGCCTCGGACGACCTTGAACCCGTGGCCGTTGTGCACGTCGGCGGAAATGGACCGCAGACGGGGATGGAGTTTGGGCAGAGGAAAGGTGAGTTGGCTGATGTCGCCGAGCGACTTGTTCTGGCCTGCTTTGCGTCAGAGAACGCACACGGGTCTTTTGTTTTTGCTACCAGACTTGAGCTCTTACTCTTGAAGTAATCCAGGGCCTCTTGAATCTCCTCCAGCTCAGACTGGTTCAACTCGTAGGACCAGTCGTACTGGTCGGTGACGGTGGCCCCGGTCCACGCCAAGCTGGACTCTAGCTTTTGCGGAAACCCGTCGGGGAGAGTGCCATTGATTTTCTCAGTCTCTTGGCGTCTCTTGATGCGCTCTTGGTATGTGTCCCAGTTCGGGGTGTACGCAATGTCAGGCTGTCCCGGAGGACCTGTTCTGTTGGCCGCCGCCGTCGCCATTTCCCGCGATGCGTCGACGGTATCGTACAGGGTCAAGTGTAATCCGCAGCAATGATTCGCAGCGCGCAAAGACGATGTTGTTTCACGGCGCGCGCCCGTTGGAGATGGACAGGACTTAATAGTGTCATTACGGATCGTCCATCCACATGCCTCCAATGGCGAGATGCGGTGGTGCAATGTCGCAACTGATCGTCGGCGCGGCTTCGTGGCCGCATCCACCAATAACTGGCTATTCCAGACTTGGCTGCATGTCACCATGGTGGCATGGCATGGCACCTTGGGTCTGGTTGTAGATACGGTTGAGTCCAGAAGAGTCCTGGATATGAAACAGGCAATGCGCATAAGTCTACAATGCAGTCTACTCGAGTAATTGGGAGCACGACAGGTTGCCGGTGCAAGGGTGCTGTTGCGTGATTGGGAGACACAATGAGGAAAAGCTCGGCGGCGGGAGGCAGCAAAGGCTAAAAGGGAGAGAGTTGAGCGTAGTTTTGTCCCGAGGCCCTGTCCATCAAAGGGCGCGTTTTACACAATCTCCTGCTCTGCACATCGTCCCGGACCATCTCGTGGAAGCGCAAAACACCATGGGTCTCCGGTTCTGGGAGACGTCCAGCTCAACGCCGGCTCCGGCTCCGGCCCCGGCGCCGGGCGAGGCCGCCGGCGGCGCTTACGCATCCGATAGCTCATCGGACATTGTGTACGACGGAGACCTCGCCTTCACTCGTGTAAAGGGAGGGAATGGCTCCGAGGCCACCTACCAAGAAGCCGTCGGCGCCCCGGTCGAGCGAAACTCCCCCCTAGGATACCACGTGGGATGGGTCACCATCATCTTCCTCAATGTCAACCAGATGATTGGCACGGGAATCTTCTCAACGCGTCAGTCACCCGGCTCAACCCGCCATCCCTTTCCCCCAGACTCCCACTAACACGCCGCAGCGGGAAACATCCTCAAGGCCACTGGCTCCGTCGGCCTGGCCCTGATATACTGGACCATCGGCGCCATCATGGCCTTTGCCGGCTTCGGGACCTATCTCGAACTGGCCAGCTATTTCCCCAACCGCAGCGGATCCGAAGTCGTCTACCTCGAGCAGGCATACCCGCGGCCCAAGTACTTCTTCCCCATCGCCTTCGCCGTCCAGTCCGTGATTCTGTCCTTCAGCAGCAGCAACGCCATCGTGCTGTCGCGATATGTCTGGCGGATCGCGGGCAGGACCCCGTCCGACTGGCAAATGAAGGGGGTCGCCATCGCGGCATACACCCTCGCCGTCATCTGTACGTTCATCGTGGGCAAACGCCGCGCCCCCTGCCCGCCGCATCGCTAACATCAATCCCAACAACAGGCGTCGTTGCGCACAACAAGTATTCCCTGTGGGCAGTCAACATACTCGGCGTCCTCAAGGTGCTCACCCTCGTCTTCATCAGCATCACCGGCCTGGTCGTCCTCGGCGGCCACGTATCCCGGGTACCAAACCCCGGCGCCAACTTTGACAACGCGTTCCAGGGCACCACCACCAACGGAAACGACTTGTCCACCGCGCTGGTCAGCATCGTCTTCTCGTTCAGCGGCTTCTCCAACGCCTTCAACGTCGTCAACGAGATCAAGAACCCGATCCCGTCCATCAAGAAGCACGGCTTTGCCTCCGTCTTGATCGTGGCGATTCTGTACATCCTCTGCAACGTCGCCTACTTTGCTGCCGTGGACAAGACCCAGTTCGCAACGTCCAAGGAAATCGCGGCCAGTGTCTTCTTCACGACCGTCTTCGGCACGGGCGGTGCGGAAACGGCGCTCAATGTGCTCGTTCTGCTGAGTGCCTATGGCAACCTCTTGGCTGTGCTGGTTGGCCAGTCTCGCATGATCCGCGAAATCGGCCGACAGGGCGTGCTGCCGTTCACCAACTTCTGGGTGGCGACGAAGCCCTTTGGCACACCGGTCGGCCCTTACCTGCTCAAGTGGCTCATGACGTTTGTCATGATTGCGGCGCCGCCCGCCGGCGATGCGTTTCAGTTCGTGGTTAGTTTGAAGACGTACCCCGAGGCCATGTTTGGCTTGGCAATGACTCTGGGCGTCTTTATCATTCGGCGGCGTCGAAGCCGCAACAAGCTGCCGAGATCGCAGTTTCGGGTTTGGGACGTGCTCTTGGTGTTTTACAACTTGATTCAGGTGTTCCTCCTGGTGATGCCCTGGTGGCCACCCAAGGGAGGGCCGTATGCCGGCGATGTGAGCTTTTGGTACGCTACGTACTGCGTGGCCGGGATTGGCGTGTAAGTTTTTTGACGACCCGACGAGAGAATACCCGAGTATATCTAACTTGATGTATACAGCATGATTATATGTGGATTGTACTATGTGGCGTGGATGTATGCTATCCCCAAGTGGAGGGGATATCGCGTTCGCGCCGAGGTTACGCATGCTGAAGATGATGGCGTTCTCTCACATAAACTTGTCAAAGTACCGCTTGCCAACATAGAGCAATGGGATGCTGAGCATGATGAGTCTGGCCAGCTGAGGGTGAGGCGAGTCACTGTCAGAGATGAAAAAAGTGAGGCATCTGATGTGTGACGGCGCCATGGCTTACAATATTTCGTCGTTTATCCTGGTATCAAATACACCAATGATGAGACAGTAGCACGTCCAACCATGTAGTACCATTGCATATCATCGATTTCGTCAATATTCTTCGTGTCCAATCACATATTAAGTTATAAATCCAAGGTACTACATACATGGCGTTGCTATCCGACAATGCAAGTAGCATATTAAACAATGCCTCCCTGATTCTTTCCCGTTGACCACTGACCCCTCTAGGGTCCGTACTGTGTCCAATCCAGAGATTTCACGTCAGGGTAACACTCGCTGTCGAGGGCATACTCGTGGCTGGAGGTAGAACCAGCCGGTAGGTTGTTCAGCTCAGTGCATTCGGGAACCAGGCGCACAGGGGCGCAGCCGTCGGGAATGTTTCGGTTGATTGAACCATCGTCACCAATGGTCGTCTCGGCCTGCTTGAGGATGACAAAGTACTTGCCCCCGTAGTAGGGCTGGCTCTCGTTGCAGGCAACCCACGTCTCGGGGTACAAGAAGGCGTATGGTTCGGGAAAGTGCGTGATGCCAATGCCGGACTGTCCAGCGCCACCGTCGAGATGAGCCGTCGAAACGGTCTGAGAGTCGGAGTCCTTGACAAGCTTGAGGCCCGAAGGGAAGGGTGGAGTGCCGCTGTCGGAGAGAACGTTGGACTGGCTGTTCCTCTGCTCATCCACGGTGCCATTCTGGTAGAAAATGCGGCCGTATCCAGTGCCTGCGCTCTGGCCGACGAGCGCAAGGCCGGCCCCGACGTGGATGCTGGAGACGTAGGTGTTTTGGACGGGAGGCTCCAAGTCCTTGGAAGGATCGGTGACATTAACCACCAGGTGGAAGCCTTTGGAGGTAGATTTTGACGGATAGTTGGGGACGACTTGTCGTTCGCCAAGGGGAGAGGCGGCGGCGAGGCCGATGAGGCTGAGGGCGGCGGCCGGGATGAGCATTTTTTGCGAATTGATGCTCTTGCGCGAGGTGAGGATGGAGTTGAGGTTGTGCGTCTGGATGCCAGTTTACCGACGTGCAAACAATGTCGATACTGGGCTGGTTTATATAGGATTCGAAGCTGGCAGTCTCGTCGGACCCTACTCAACCTCGAGGTGGCACAAGCAAGCGCAGCTTCACTGTGACTGGTGGATTAAAGACAAGGCGGCATCGATGAGCCGATCGTCGAGGACCAGTTGACAGCTGCCAGTGCCGACGAAGCTGAGGCGAATGGCACCGTAGCACAGACTTGGGCGCCAGCCGAATTGGCATCGTCAGATCTGCCGTCTGAGGCCTGGTTTGTCCCACCTTTGGCGTCCTTTTCTCCCAACAGTGAAGCAGACGGCAGGTCCATTTTCGATTGAAAAAGAAAGGCCCAGGTCGTGTGCCAAGCATCCTGGTTGCGCTCTGGTGTTTATGTGGGGACAAGATACGAGATGATTACTAGTACCGACATGTCGTCATACCGCGTCGTCTCTTCCCCAGACTACTTTCAACGTTGCACCTTGAGGGCGAGCAACTTGCTAGTAGTTGGCGCGTGGGCGAGCGTTGCATTCGCGGCAGGAGTTGATGCATCCCTTTGAATGCGCTAAGGTGCCGGACGCGAGGGCAACGACCGGCCTGTTCTGCGCCGTCAGCTCGTATTGATGCACCAGACAGCACAACTCCATGTTGCATGTAGGCCAGCTCTGGCGGCCATCTCGGTCCGTTTAAGGCTGTTTAGGAAATTCGGCGCCAGGGTGACGGTGTTCAAAGGGCAAATCTACATTTAGGATTCTTCCGTCCAGTGAGCCTTCATAGCATATGCCCATTTTCAGCAATGGAGTTGACCATGTCTCGCCATCTTGACGTCGCAAATGTAACCCTACCCGGAATCATGCCACTGCGAGGCAAGGAGGCTGCTCAACTTATACGCGGCAGCACAAGAGACGGCCAAATCCAAGAGCGGGCTCCCGTGCGATTGTTGCATTGCGGAGTGGACGTATTCAGCAACAATCCGCCAGGCTACATGAGAAAATTACCCATTAATTAGAATACACTATGCCTGAGTTGACATTTTGCCTGTAAAAACATCCCACGGCAACTCGGCTCAATTCGACCAGACTTGCAACTTGGAAAAGAACACTGAAGATTTATAGTTTGTTACTTGCCTGGCCATCATCATCCAATCAGAACAATTGGTTTCGTGGTCTAGTTGGTCATGATTTCTCGCTAACACCGAGAAGGTCCCCGGTTCGAGCCCGGGCGAAACCACTCGATTCTCTTTTTGCATTTCAGTTCAATGTTGCTTGGGTTCGTCTCTCTTGTCGTGAGGTTTGACTGATTGTAGCGAATAGTTGAGCTGGAGCAGCTTTTTTGGACCATGTACTCCGTAGCGAGCGTTGCACCTTGCAAGTATAATTAATGCATTGGGTTATTCGCTTACAAGATGAAGAAGCTCTGCCTCGGATTGGTGGATCTTGAGACAATAGAGAAACAATCTAAGCGACCAGATGATTTATTTTTTCTTTTGATGACAACCTGGCCGTCTTTTGTGCTAGCTGAGCATACTATTAAATTTACATGAATCAATGGTTGATGAGGCGGGCAGTCTTTTTGAGCGACAGGAGAGAAGCAGAGAGCGATGAACCGCTTCCGGAAAAAGAAAACTCGCAGACTGGCCGCCACAAATTGCACTGGGCGACTCATCTACTCGGCCGATTCTAAGTCGCGGCTCGGATGGAACGGGAGGCTGGGGCTTCTAAAAGGGTCGGAGATCAGACCGACCGAGTTGGACAAATCAAACATTTGAAGTCACCTGGCACGTTGGGTCGAGGCTTATTCGCGCTACAATAGCATGCGGCCCGACAAGGTCTGCAATGGGGAATTGGGGCATCTGGCGGTTTTCTTTGTTCAATGTTCTTGGACTGGATATACTGCTCTCCCGTCCGTGGACGCTTCAAGGAAGTCCGAGGCGTACTTATTTGATTGCGTAAGCGACTTTTGTTTTTAAGAAACATTGAAGAAAAAAATAACCGGACGGCAAAGCTCTGCCACGCAGTAAGGTAAGAGCTAGCCATAAAGCGGGCCGCTTCATAGAGCTAAGCCACGAAGCAAGGATAAGCTTACAGCGCGCATATAACTTCAATGTTACAATTAGACTTGGATTTGATCCTATACGGAGCACTGTACATGTGGCTCGTCCACGTACGTAACATCAACTGGAAATCACGTCCAGCACCGGCAGCTGACCGGCCCAAGCCACAAATATGTGGCCGGAAGCGGCAGAGCGTTGGCCAGACAAACCGCCGGCCCGTTTTTATAATGCCAGGCACTTTGGCTCCAACATCTAGTGGTCTTCCGGATCGGTTTTTCGTCCTTTGGAGCAAAACCGCGATTAAAGTCGGCGGCCGCTCAGCCTTGCCAAAATTATGCACTGGGTCTGACACGGGAACCGGCGGATCGCGTTCATGTCAACTGGTACGTATCTGGCATTATCTCGTGCGTGAATTGGGCGTCGCCAAGAAGATGCCAAGATGCCAACATACCACCAGACGCAATTGGTGAGCCGGCGACTTCCCGAACGGGTCACGAGAAATGACCGAGCAAGGGACCCCGTAAGAGACCGCGTCAATGTTTGCTGGTGAGCTTTTTTCTTTCTCGGAGCAACTGGCTGTCGTGGACTCGTGGTCAACAGAAACGCACAAGGTCAAGGTGGGCCGCGGAGTGGCTTCAATATGTATTTTGACAACGGGACAGGGTGCCAGGTGTGTCAACGCCCGGAGACTTTACCGGCCCATCTGCTCCGGAAGCAAACGAGGCTTTCAATGTTGTGTGAATCCTATTGACTCGACGTGTACCCTGTCACACCAGTTGACATGTTGACGTCAGGACTGGTCTCCAGGGCCGCTGAACGCCACCCGTCAGTTCGGATACCCACAACTTTGAAGGCTAAGGTGGGTGAGCTTTGTTGCAAGCCCGGCCAAGGGGCACGAGGACCATGCTGTGTATTCCTTTTTTTTTTTTTTTTTCCATCTCAAGTGAATTCGGGCTCGGTTGGTTGCACAGCCATAGAGCGAGCTGACGAGCCAACTCTCGCCCCTCTGCCTGCCCGGGTCTGGAGTCTTCTCTCCCCTTCCCTCCCTCAAGTCCTCGACACCACAAAAAGACGTCACGATGCTTCGTGTTGATTAGTGACGACACATTATGACGGGACTTGACCTTGATCTGCTGCAGCCGCAACATCAAATCGTCAAAGCCGGCTTTGTGTCGCCACTTTGGCCTTCTGAATAGACGTGGTGGCCATGAAACCCTTCAATCAGCCGGACAGGTCGCGCCTGTCGCCTCTGACCAACAAGCGCCTCAATCGCAACATCTTGCTGACGGCGGCCTTGTTCTTCCTAACGAGCCTCTTTCTGTGGAGCCGTCGTGAACCAGCACCGGTGCCGGAGCTTCCTCCCAACAAGCTGTGGCTGGAACCCGACGAGATCAACAAGACGTACAGCTTTCCAACCACGAGCGACTTCCAGCCCGTGTCGCTGAGCCCCGGTAACAGAACCACCCAGGAACTATGCGCCAGTTTCCCCAGACACAAGCTGTCGCGGATCCAGCCCGTTCTCAAGATGGGATACAGCGAGAACCGAGGCAAGATTGAGTCGCAGCTGGACAGTGTGAGCGCCTGCTTCTCCGCGGACGACTTGTTGATCTTTTCAGATGTGGAGGAGACTCTGCGCGGCCACAAAGTCATCGACATCTTGGCTTATCTGCCGGATACGTACCGGAAGGGTTCGGACACCTCCAAGTTCCAGCAGTACCTGCTGCAAAAGGAGATGAAGGAAAACGGCACATTGGAAACAGATAAAGAGGCCGCCAAGAAGATTGATGGCTGGGCCTTGGACAAGTTCAAGTTCCTGCCGGCGGTTGAGAGAGCGTGGGCCATGAGGCCGAACAAGGAATTTTACGTCTTTTACGAGACGGACACGTAAGTACGACGCCTTGTCCCTGGCTGCGGTGACATTAACAATCATTCCCAGATATATTCTCTGGGACAACATGTTTCGCTTTCTCGACACACTGGACCCCGACACGCCCTTGTACATGGGATCGGCCTCTCCCGGACGCCGGGACGGGAGACGCCTCCAAGGCACCCTGTTTGCCAACGGCGGCCCCGGATACGTCCTCAGTCGCGGCGCCATGAAGAAGCTGCTTCACCGCCGCGTCGGGCCCAACGGCGCGTTCATCGACCCGCCGTTCAGCGAGAGGTTCAGGTATCTCGCCCACGACGGCGAGTGCTGCGGCGACAGTATCCTCGGCTTCGCCGCCTGGGAGCTGGGCATTGTCTTGCAGGGCTTCTATCCGCTCTTCACGCCGTACTTGCTGACGGCTCTCCCGTTCGACGGCGACCACTGGTGCCACCCCCTGGTGACGATGCACAAGGTCGCGACGCAGGACATGGTCAAGCTGTGGAGGTGGGAGTTTGAACACAGAAAACACGGGGTAAGTCCGCCGCGCCATGCTCGAGACTGTTCTTGACCTGACTGACGGAATTCTGGGCACAGCAGCCGCTCATGTACGCGGACCTGTGGCACTTTTACCGCCCGGGCCAGCACTCAACCCGCGACAATTGGAACAACGAGGCCCGTGGTAGTTTCGTGCCTTTGGGGGAGCGCCAAGCAGACTCGTCCCAGGCTTGCCAGAAGCTGTGCCGGGCGGATGGGGAATGTATGCAGTGGGTTTGGAAAGGACGAGACCAGAACAGCTGTCACCTCTTGCACGCTATTCACTACGGGGGACCGCAGGAGGCGCACGAGGTTGAGGGGAAGTGGATCGATTACAAGTCCGGCTGGGAGACGGAGAGAATCGAGCAGTGGCGTTTGAGTAGGAAATGCGACGCGGCTAGTTGGGTTGGGCCCAGCTTGAAGCGGGTATTTTGAGGGACCGGCCTTCATGATGGTTTGCATTGGTGTTGTGCGAGGGTGAAAAAATGACGACACCGGCGTGGTTGAGGATGGGGGGATATTTGGTTAGATGTGTTGATAATCCATCTAAAGGAGAAGAAGTTGGATATTCTGGGCCGATGGTTAGCGCTAAAGAGGTGCCTGATACCCGATAATAGAGAAGCATATTGACGAACTATTGAGCATGTTGGAGGCGGAATCGTAGTATTTGGAGTTTGTCTCAACGCATGAGACGAGGTGGATTGAGGCCAGAACATAGGCTGCTCCAAGAGCAAGATACTTGAGAAAAGAAAAGATGAAGCAAAGCCGGGAGGACGGGGTTGGTTGTTTCCGCAACTGATTTCTCCCGACGATAGGGCCATGATCTGACAGTACTAGCTTCACTTGTCCTGTTTGAAAGTGACTCCCGCACTGGTGTCCGGAATGGGCGACATAATCACCACATCGATAGCTCCAACTCGGCAAGGGAGTGTCGTAGGGCCAACATGGGTCGAGTTCAGCTGAAGCCTCCATCGTGTAAACCCTGCAGCTGACGGCGTTGGAGTGCTGTCACAATCTAACAGGTAGCTGACATTCAAATGTTAGCCAGTAAAAGAGCCAGGGCAGGAATTTTGCCCAATTTCGGCACATGATCACTAGAGAACCCCGGCCCCGGCGCTGGTAATCGCCCATCAGTCCGGTTGTTGGATGTACATACCATGTTGCCATAAATGGAACGAGTTGCCCTTGATGGTTTTGTGTGTTGGTTTAATACGCGGGTGATTCGATATCATTTTGAAAATTGAAGCAACGAGTTCTTTATTCTGCGATAAAATAGTGCCATCGAGTTTCTGGCCACCGTGGAATAACGAGGCGGTGATTATTCTGGCTCCCATCGGACCTTGAAGGCATGTCAATAAGACCCCCGCTCCGGAAGTGGCCCGACGAGCCGAGCGCCTTTGCCGCCTCCGCGGGCGTCGTGTGGGGATGAGAGAACAGTTGAAGAAGCATCGAATATTGTGAATAGATACGAGACAGCGTGCTGAGTACGAAATACGGAACCCTTGACTGCGGGACCAATTCGGAATTATAGCTGAGCTTAGGGCGCGACTCAACTCGACCTGTGTGTGTACATGGAAACTCTGGCCCAAGACGGGAACCAAGTTGGCCCGTCTTATCTCTGCAGTGACAGCTCTCGGGGAGTGGCATAAACGCACCAGACAAGACAGCATGCTGACAATGCGGCCTGGAATGTTGAATAAGTTGGGTGCCATTGGGAAAATTCAGCTTCTAGTCAGGGGCCAAAGGGAAATCCTGCCCGAGCTTAACGTTGTCCCGTGAGTAAAAATAGTAATTTTACCCCAGGTCTACACCACAAGGCGGATGCTTCATGGACCTGCTGTGCGGCTGAGGTAGCATCGATCGTCCAACTTGCATTTCAGCTGCATGTTTCCCCTGAACAGGACGGATCCTTTGGCACAAGACTCCCTATCTAGCTCTAGAAATAATACCAGCGCAATGGATACATGACCATGAGCCCAAGATCGTGAAGAAGCTACAAATAGGGCCGCTTTCTCGCCCAGCATTGGCAAGTTCAAATGTAACAAACAAAAACACTCGACTAGTCGACAACGCTCATCTACAAAATGAAGTTGCCCTCTCTCTTTACCGTCCTCCTCGCCGCCGGCGCTTATGCCATGCCCACGGCTACCGAGGTATACTCCCAACCCAGCCTCTCACCGGCCCAAGTCACATCTACTAACCACCCTCCCAGGCCTCGAAATCCGGCCTCGAGAAGCGCACCGGGCCCGGCATCGTCGCCGCAGCCGACAAGATGAAGGGCAAGCCTTACGTCTGGGGCGGTGGCAACATCCACGGTCCCACCAACGGCGGCTTCGACTGCTCCGGTCTCACCCAGTACTCTGTCTACCAGGCGGAGAAGAAGGAGATTCGTGCGTGGCCCTGGTCCTCGCGACCTCTTGTTCCAACTTGAGAGCTAACGTCGATCGAATACGGCCAGCGCGAACCGCCCAGGCGCAATACGCCTCCAAACTGGGCAAGCACATTCCTCGCGCGCAAGCCAAAGCAGGCGATCTGCTCTTTTGGGGCAAAGGTGGCGACTGCAAGACGGGCGTCGTCCACGTCGGCATCTTCACCAAGCCGGGCTGGATGGTGAATGCCGCCCATACCGGTGTTCCCGTTCGAGAGCAGAAGATCTGGACCTCGTACGGTGGCGAGAGCATTTGCCCTGATGCTGTCCGCTTTTGGTAGATGCTAGACGCGTACGTGAAGGAAGGGGTGGCCGGCAAGTAGAGGAGGAGCAGATTGGGCTGCCTCTGTACATGTTGGCCTTGTGCCGTGCGACATGTGGCTGTTGAAAGGGGACAAGGTGCGGTCCACATACGGGCATTGAATATTATTCTCTTGGCCGGTCTTGTAGAGTATACGCTGCGCATCATGGGCTCCCGGGGGGCCGGGCGAATATATATATATCCTGCCGCTGGGAAAACGGCCAGAATGCCCCGTGCCTATGTATAACAGACGGCCTCTGTCGCGTCCGGCATCCACTCTCCTGAGGCAAGGAAGGCCCTTCAATGTTGGTTCGATGATTGAAAACCCCGTCCATTGGACAAAGGTACCGGGCGCCACGGCCAAGCCCAACTTGTGGCATCGCGGTCCTTGTACTATCTCCTTGCCCTCGCGGCCTATGTATAGATGAAATGCTATTTTCGCCACATGCGCATATATAAGACGGACAGGACAGTCGACCGGACGACTTTTTCAGCGCACGCCACGAAGCGCCATCAGACGTGCGTGTGGTTCTTATAGGCTTCGACGGCCCTCATACGGGTGTATGAGGGGGCTGATGTGTCACTTGCTTCATTCCAGAACGTCCGTGCCATCATTGATGTCAGATGTCACATTGTCCCCCGTTTGCCAGCCCTTTCTGACTGGCGACGGCGCGGGGTAAAAAAAGTGGTCTGGTGCCGAGTAGCAAAGTTGGAATTGGCCAAAGGTATTGGATCAGAGGCCGAATTCAGCCCTCCATGTCGCGAGAAAGTCATGCCCAGACGAGGGCGTCGATGGCGTCCACTCCGTCATCCTCACGTCTGCGCATCGATGCCGTTGTCGTACTGTTACATCCGGCTCCTAGGCCGCGCTACAATGCGCATTATCCGGCAGAGTTGGACCCAGGAGCTGGTCCCCCTCGTACATACATCGATACGCAAGTGACCGTGGTTGGTGGTGAGACCACGGGGCAAAGGCGACCAGGGTAGGTGCATGGGCTGGCTTCCATGTGCCGGAAGTTGATATGCATGGGATGATCTGAAACGCACTGCGGCTTTGTCCAAGTAGATTTGGGCCATTGATCGGTCCAGCGGTCGGCTGCTTTGGGGACGAATCGTGTTTGGTCAAGTCTAGATAAACGACTGGCTCTCCCGCCGCGCCGGGTTGCTGTGCAGGCGACGTAAAAGTTGTCTGGTCTGGTCACTTTGGAATAAGTCCAAGTCGGCAACGACATGTCATCTGCCATGGCGCATACATCGGTCGTTGGAAGCCCTCTTGTGACGCTGCATGTGCTCGTGGAACGGCTGGCACAATGCGACTTGGTCTACTCGGTTTCTATCCTGTTCGCATTGTGCCTGCTGACGAGCTGGATCAAGACTTTCTGGATATTCAAGTCAAGAGCGCAGCATGACGGTCCCAAAGTGCCTCCGTATTGGCCCTATACGGTTCCGAGTATTGGGCCGGTCGTGACGACCTTGTCGTTTGCCCTGTCTCGGAACCCCGTGAACTGGGTGCTGTCTTCTAGGTAAGCGTGTAATTCCCGATTGTTCCTCTTCAAAAAAAGGAAGCCATCTAAAATTGTATATACTAGCTTGTTCCAGCACGAGCACCCCGTACGGGTTCGCGTCATAAACACAGACATGTGTCTCACCCAAGGCCCCGACATGGTCAAGGCCGTCTTCAAGAACTCGTGGACGTGCACAATGGCCGTGCTGCACCGATTCGTGCTCGGAAACGTCTTTGGCATGTCCGGCGAAGCCCTCCAGCTCTACGACCTGGACAAGTCTGGCTATCGGCACAAGCCCATGGCCGCCACGGCCGTCGAGCCTCGCAACCGCATCGACCACCTCACGTACGGGCCCATGATCAAGTTTCTATCCGGCCCGGGGATGAGGGCATTCTGGAACCGATACGAGATGCATCTGGCGCAGCGGCTCCGGCAGCTCCCCGTCGGCGCCGAGTGGACCGAGATGCCGGACCTGACGCGAGTATTCGAGGCGGACGTCTCCCACGCCAACACGGATGCCCTCTGCGGCCCTTACTTGCTGCAGCGGCATCCAAACTTCCTCGAGGAGCTGTGGAAGCTCGACCGTCATCTCGACTGTCTCTTCCGGAGCACGCCGCGCGTATTCGCACCCCGGGTCTACGCCCGCCGGGACCGGCTCCTGGCCTGCGTCAAGGACTGGCGCCGCCACGCGCAGCTCAACTTCCGCGACGACGCCGTCGACGAAAATGGCGATGATCCGTTCTGGGGCAGCCGGGTGTTTCGCCAGCGCCACGCGCTGTTTTCCGACATGGACCACATGGACGCCGACGCCATGGCGGCCGCCGACTTTGGCGTCATATGGGCGTAAGTTTTGATGAAAGCGAGAAACAAACCCCCCGATGAGCGACTCGATAACCAAAAAAGGCACAGGTCAACCCGCAACTCTGTCGTCGCCGGCCTCTGGGCCGTGCTCGAAATCACCAGCGACAAGGACTTGCTGCGCAGGGTGCGGCGCGAGGTCGCCAAGTGCCGGGACTCGTCGCCGACGGGAATCAACATTGCCCTGCTGCTGGAGAACCCCCTGCTGCAGTCCATCTACGCCGAGGTGCTCCGGCTGCGCGTGCACATGCTCCTGCTGCGCGTCCCCCTCTTTGACAATCTACACATCAGGGAGTGGGTGGTGCCGCGCGGCGATCTCCTCCTCATGAGCACGACGGTCGCGCACATGGACCCTGCGGTGTGGAACGCCGGTGAGGGCGGCCGGCATCCCCTCGATTCGTTTTGGGCAGAGAGGTTCCTCAGGTACGAGGGCGTGCCGGGCAGCGGGCCGAGGAGGACGGATGGCAACGAGGCCGGCGGCTCGTGTCCGGCGCGGGGCGCGGGTCGGAGAGAGGATGGTTGCCCGGCATCGGCGGGCGGCGTCTCGTTTGGGATCAAGGACGTGGACGGATCTTGGATCCCGTATGGCGGCGGGCAGAGGCAGTGCCCGGGTCGGCATTTCGCCAAGCGTGACATCATCTATACCGCTGCCGTCATGGTGACGTACTTTGACATTGAGCCCCTGGTGGATGTTGACTCGTTGAAAATGGACATGCGTGGCTTTGGTTTGGGCACAATGGCTGTCAAGGGCGTTGTGCCGTTTAGAATCAGGAGAAGGGAGGTCCTTGGTTGGTAGCTACGGCGTCGATTCGACGATTGTTGCGTATTTGAGGGGACACGTCTGGCTGCTCTGGTGATGGATTGCCCTCGAGACCATGTCCCCAAAAGTTAAAGCTTTTCTTGTCACCATCTGCCTCTGCGTGGGACATCATGTTTGAGTTTCATGGGGCTACAGGCGGCGATATTGCGCTGATTCAAGCAAATGTTGGTTATCTGCATTGTCCCATTGCGAAGGAGACCCTCGCTAAACCTATTGCCACGATTTGCATTTGTACAAAACCTTGTGCTCAGGGGAAAGCTGTGTTCATGTCATTGGCAAAGCCTGCCCTGGGATATGGCGATGGAGAGTATCGTTGATACAAACGGGAGTGTCATACTGGCTGTAAGGTTCATCAGGCCGCAGTTATTATTGATCAATATGCAAATGACTACATCTAGCTCCGTCACCTCTTCTCAAGAGACTCCTCGCCCCGAATTACACTCTTCTTTGAGACGTACTCTGTGCCAAGTAGCCAACTGGTCTGAGTCAGAGCAGAGTCAAGTGTTTCTCAAAGATGCATTGGCATTGAATAGTCCCCGCCAAAGCCAGTGTTTCGTTTCGTTCGTTACACGTCACGACATGCCCGGATTCATGGCCTGCCCATCGCACACATGCCGTCGTCGAAACGGCCCATGTATGGCGGCCAAAACCCTCACTTGCACCAAGCTGGCAGCTCGATCAATACCCGACTCGGGAACCCAAAACACGCGCGCCAACTTGAAATCTCACCAAGAAGCTCCTGCACCATCTAATCCATCCTTCTGTCTTCCTTGGTATACAGCCACAAAAGTCCCGCACGGGGGGCCGGCTCTCACGCAGGATCAACCTGCACCCCATGTCCGTCTATGTAATCCATAATCTTTTCAAAGTTCCGGCACTTGTGATGGGTGTTGAAGTCGGTTCGCCGACCACCAGCCTCCTTGTCGTACGTCAGCAGCGCGGGCGTCACGTCGGCATAGCACATCAAGCTCAGGCGAAGGGTTTCTATGCAGTGGTCGACGTGTACCCGCGCCGTGGCCGTGTCTTCAAAGTCGGACGGGTATAGTTTCCCCCACGACTTGTCATACATCTCGAGCGGCCAGGTATATTGGCGTATTACGTTCTGCCAGTAGTCGCGGTCAGCCCATGCCCAAGTGTATGTATGCGTCTCGCAAGCCGGCGGCTGTATTCGAGACGATGTCAGGCCCCGGAAATGGAAAAGTCACCTACAAGACAATGGAGCTGGTGTAGAGCCTCTATCGCAGCGCCATACGTTGGGTTGTCGGGGTCGCTTCCCCGGATCTCAATGTACTGACCGACGTCGGTTTTGTTGAGCTTTTGCAAATCGTCTCTGCCGACGCCGATGCCGCGCACTGGAATCGTGTCAGTTCAGTTGGAGCACGTATATAGGATATACAGAGACCTGTGCTTACCGCCCCAGAGATCGTCCCAGGTTTGCTGCAGCTCCAGCGTCGGCGGACCGCGGTACTTGGAGGGATGGGTGAAGTCGTTGTCGAAATTGCCTTCCCAGAACTCGACTGCCTCCCATAACGGCGCTGCTCGCCTGGTCAGCAAGCGGTGCTGCGGGAATCCTCACGCCGTCAACGTGTACTCACACCATGGCGAGACGGTCTTCGCGCATTCCCACTCTGAGGGCGCGCGTCTTCCAAGGGTGCCCGCCCAGAGAATGTATACTGATGCGATGAACAGAAGTGTGTTGCAGGCCAGGAGCGTCATGAACACCCTTCTCGGCAGCCTGACGGTGGAGCGGCGTACGGGCTCGTGAGGCCCTTCGAGGCCATCGTCTTCTCTTTCAAGCGATTTGAGACGCTCATACTCGGAGGCCTGGGACCACATGTTTCGTCTGATGATCTTGTTCATACCCAATATGTCGTGGACTCGTGGTGCTGGCGATGGCGACAGGGCACAACATGGTTAAGCCAAAAGAGCTTGGGAAATATTGGCCAAGGCCGAGAGGCCTCGTCGCTTATAACCAGACATCTCTGGTAGCAAAACCCAGCACCTTTGTGGCTGGCGTGGAACAATCCTGACTTCATTATAAAAGACAGCGACGTGGCAGGCCTTGGCAAGAGTCACAATAAACCGTTGCCATAAGTCTAGTTGACGATGTTTATTGCTGTTCTATTGATGACGGTAGTCCAGGACGCCACGAAGCCATTTGTGCAAGGTTGTCCTGGAGACGGAGCAATAAGAGATGATGGTGGCGTTGTTGAATACCCAGCCAAATTTGTGGCGGGCTTCACTCCTCCCACGACCCTTGCTTTTTTACATGCATGTGCACTTGATCCTGTATGTCCCGACGGGCCGCGAGGGCACGGCCGGCAGTCTCTAAGCATTTCACTCTGGTGGTGGGTTGTGGGTTTCTCAGTCGACCATTGTGAGGTGCAACTCTGGTTGGCGTTGAGTTTGCCATTTCCCAGAGCCATCCTATGACGATACGTCGGAATAGCGTGGTTTGTACGTAAATCCATATCATCAGCCAGAGTCAAATGAGCACAACTGAAAAAACCAGACATTATAAATGGCGTCGAAAACTAAAAATCTGCGGCGGGCACGCCTCTAGCCCTCGGCTGCAAAACATATATAAGCGCATAGACCACGGTTTGCCTCGTGTGTCAACTCAACTGGGTTCAGTTTGTGGCCCGTTCATTCGGTGGCATTCGAGATGAGAGGCGAAAATAGTGCATAATTCGAATTGGATAAAATGAAATAAAACCTACATTACCAAATGTCTGTAAATGGAATTCATGTGTCTGTAAGTGGTGGGCTGGTTTGAACCGCAAACCTCCAGTCTCCCATCTGATGACGACAGTGTAAATACTGTTTGCCAAAGTCGACAAGCACCACGTCACGTAATCGGTGTTTTACATCGGGAATAGCCTCGCTTGATCTTTTGACATGATGTTTTACGAGACATCACCGTCACTGGGCGAATACACATCCACTAGTCGTCGGGTTAGCCCTTGGCCTGTTTGTACATAGGCCGTGACAATATCACAACCATGTGTTGCCGAGTCTCCAGCGTAACGAGACTACTCGCCTTCACAATCGATACATTCGTACTCCTCCGTAGGCTCATCATCAGAACTTCCGCGTCTAGCGTCTCCAACAGCACGAGCGCCAGGTGTCTTTGAGGAGCCAAGCAGACAGCCCGGCAAATCACTCGGGACTCAAGGCATGTACACACAGCCAAGGGCCACTCACAAAAGTCAAATAAATGGTTTGATTCATGTCAAATCCGGCCCCCACCTCAGGAGTCCTTCCCTTGGCCTCGGTATACCTCAATTTGTACAGCTCGTCAGCTCGTCAGCCATAGCCGCCCCGGCTAGGGGGGTTGTGACAACACAAATGTTCACACGAGAAATCCGGTTTAAATTACGAAAATGTCTTGGAGACACTGGTGCTTGTGTTCCCTCGTGTGCTACAGCAGGCGCGTTAGCTATAGCAGTTGCACGGCATACCCAGGTGAAAACTGCCGGCAGGAAAACTTCCGAGGTGCCGTGTATGTAGTTACATATGTACATCGGGATACCAATGCCGGCATTCGTGCTCCCCATTGCAAGCTTTTGGGGGCCGCAAAAAAGGCCTTTTAAGCTTTTCTCCTTGTTTGTACTCGGTGTGACCTACCCCGTGGATGGAGTACCGTCCATGTCTCCCCAACACCAGCCTGATGTTGCGGAATAATGACAGCGTGGCCGTGTCGGAAAGCCAGACAAGGTGTAAAATTGTTCAGGGTGTCAATTTCCTATTTTAAAACCAAGAAATGAGGTCCTAGTGACGCCATTCTGCGAGTTTTACGGTGCAACCTTGGGAGATTTTGCTACGTCAAGGTGCGTCTCGACGGGACATGCATCGGAGCCCGGCGGCAGTCTCACCTGATGCATGAACAAATTGACCGGGTCGATTTTGATGCTGTCGTGCAACTCAGCACCTGTTGATGGCAAATTATGGAGGCGCCTCAGCTACAATGGAAACGTGGCCCAATATATTCTGCTATGCGAACATATAGGGCCCATCCGCAACTCTTGGCATATTGGGTCTCTTGACCGGTGTACGGAGTAAAAGGCAGTGAATATGCGCCTCTCGTGCGTCTACGTCCAGTCGTTCTTGATTGATGCTCGGTGTGCCGTGCCCAGACATGCAGTGTGAGGCTCATTCTACTACACGAAGTGGCGTCGCACAACAACAGTCGTAGAGGCGCGGACGCACGGGGAAATAACAATAATAAAAACCTGTACGGAGTAGTAGTAGTAGTAGTAGCAGTAGTAGTGGTATATAAAACGACGTGCTAACAAAGAGCAAATTCCATATCTGAAACACATTGCGCAAGGGTTCGGGTCCGGTCCTGCTACAGGCCGGGGGGATGATGATATCAACGTTGCTGCAGGGCCCCTGGTCAGAACCATGGATGAGGACGGCGTTTTGGTGGTTCCCGTACCACAAGCAAGGCGGTGCTTCATAAACTCGGGTTGGAACCACAGACTTTTCTTTTCGTATCTCGCAAGATTTGGCTTGGCCGGCTTGGACCCCCCCCCCCCCCCCCCCCCTTTTCTTTTAGTCTCTCTCTTTTTCGTTGAAGCAGCTCTGTGCGGCATCTTAACCTTATTGACTCGCCTCCTTGATACCGAGGACAATGGCCAATGCTTCCCGCCTCTGCCGGCAACTAGAAACGGCTTTAGATTGCAGCTGCGTCTCCGTTCACAGCCGAACGATATGTGGCTTGAAGCTTGCATAGCGTACAACCTTGGGCAATACGCGGATGCCAGCCACTGGGGAGGCAGTCCTCCCGCCATAGCATTCCGGGCACAGTGACAATCAATCCATGATTATTTCTGTATTTGGATCCTGGGTATCATGATGTCGGTGAAGAGTGGTGACTACCCAGGTAGGTGGTTGGTGGGTGTTGGTGGTATAAGTCGACGGTCTCGTCAGACCATGTATATTGCGTCGAGCATCACACACCCACAGGCCGGCACATGGCAATAACCTCGCCAGCAACGAGCCACGGTGTGCTCCGTAGCAGTCTCTTGAAGCCCGCCGGAATGCAGGGATCTCGAATACTAGCCGCACGAACGACTTGGCGCCGAATGAGGGAAAGGCAACAAGAGCAACAAGCCACAGTCCGATCCGGTGGAGCTCATACGCGCGCCGTCGACGATGAAGAGCTCGTCGGACCGTGACCCAATTGGCCGCGCCGCCGTCCTCTCCAAACTCTGCGGCCATGCGCCGTCTGATTGGCTTAGGGTCCCACGGTCACCCCATTCCATCTAGGTTTACGAGCTTGTTAGTTTCAGCCCCCTTACGTAGGAAGCTGAAGGCCAAACAAAAGCTGACTCGCCCATTGGTCGAGAGGGACCTGCAACGGTCTAGACCCGGCCGCGTTTCCCACAGCCGTCTGCCAACTTTTCAGCGCAGCATGGCACCCATGAGGCCTTGGCGGCATGTGTTTCTTGCATGACGAGGACCCTTTGCGGGGCCGCATGGCATAATCCGCACGTACAAGCGCTTGGCCGAAAACAGACAGAGTTGAAGACGTTGCGACTTACTCCGTACCATGTATAATATCCATGTTGAGATGGTGGGGGCACCGTTGTTCTGCTGCATACTACATATGTATGTCTGGTACTATATCGACATATGTACATACATACATACTCCGTACATGTAGTACACACAATTGTGCATGTGTCTGCGCATCAACGACACTAATCCAACGCCTCCCAGTGCCTCGTCTTTCCCGCCCAAGCCACTCGTCCTCGTGAAAACTTTGCTGCCACAGACTCCTAAAGAAAACATGTCTGAATTTTTATTTTTATTTTTATTCCTTCTTGTTGCTTGGCTTCTGTCCCCGTCCGTTGATTAGCTGAGAAATGGACCTGCCACTGAGCCATGCTGTCCGGACTTTCCGGCGCTGGGGAGCCGGCTTCCACGGTTTGTATGTACAAGACAACCGCGGGACAAGTCTTGACCCTGTGTTGTATGTACATACATGTATATATGCCTTGTATTCATACGAATAGAAATGATGCCTTGAAAGAAGTGAGCGTCATAGACTGAAGCCTTTGTCGAGCAACATCTCCCTGCCCCCCTGCCCACGAAGCTATTCACATCAGGAGGCATGATAGTCACACGACATCTGCATTTATGAATCACACCAGTGCCATCCGGTCCTTCAAGACTGCCTGCAAGTGAGGAGAGGCACGGGATTCCCTTTGCACGACTCCGCTCTTCAGCATTGGCGAGTTACAGCAAGCCTCCTTTTTTTTTTCCTGCGCCGCTGACTAGCCGCACTCCTCTCCCTCGGGAAGAGAGTTTGACCCACGGACTGGAGAGCATATCAAGGACCAAAGTTGATTGCTGCTGAACACGGAGCAAGATGTGACTCGTACCGAGATTTTCATGACGCTTTCTGAATCCGTGATCGTCTCGGTGCTACGGCGACGGGGAGTCATACCCACCCTGAATCGCCGCTCGAAGGCTCTTTGAAAACATAAATACGCAGACGGCTCAGAAGCTTGCCCTCCGAAGCTTCTTGTCAACGTCTCTCTTGCCCTTGGCTTCTGGCGTAAGTAATCGGCATCGGCACTCGTTTCAACCACCCCCCGGACGTTTCGCGCGCAACATCATCATCTGCTTCTTTCATCTCTCGCCATGACGCTACGCAACGTTTTCAACTCCCGGCGGAGCAGCTCCCAGGAGCCGGGGACTCGTAAGCACATGTTTGGAGACTCGGTCCGCAACCTGTTGGTTGTGATTTTTGGCGAGTTTTGCGGCACCTTTATGTTTCTCATGCTGTCGTTTGCCGGGGCCCAGACGGCCATCAACAACAACCAGCC